GAACTCCATCTTAGATTCCTTCTTGGATTCTTTCTTAGACTCCACCTTAAACTCCTCATATCCCATTGCAAACTTGTTCCTAACACTTCCATGTGTCACAACACTAGCCATATATCAGTCCTTATTGTGTCCTTTTTAGAAATTTATTCACCAATTGCTTCATGCTCATTCCTTGAGCACTTAGTTTGGAATTTTATTCCCGCTCTCGACTTCCCAAATCATGGCTTTTGGTCCAAATATATTATACTTGTTGGACTTCCACTTCAATCATTACCATGTGGCACTTTTTTGGCTCTACTTTGGGGCTCAAAAATTTGTATCTCACAACAATAAATCTTGGTTAGCTTGTTGTTAACAAGCAACTATCTTGATGGATAAAAAAAGCTTGATAAGTTTTTAGAATATTAAGATTATTTTATAATATTTAAAGAAAATTACAAATGAATTAGAGAAGAGTTTAAAAGCAAAAAATCACAACCATAAACCATTGGATTGAAAAGGTGAAGAAACTACTACTTAAGGTCAGATAACTATATTTTCCAAAAACTGTAAAATTTGTATATATAAAATATTATATTAATATATTTTTCTTGCATAATTTGAATATATATTAAGGTAAGCTGGAAAACAAGACAAACACTCATGGTCTTGTCTTGGAAAAGATGGCCAAAATATTGGTCTAATTTGAATCATATATAGTTATGAATAAATCTTCACAGAGTGTTTAGGAATTTGTTATTGGTATAAATGTTAAAATATAAAATTTTGCTTTCTTCTTTTATTTTTGATGAGCCTATTATTCCAGCATTTGTGGATTTTCTAGATGAGGATTCTGTACCACCAACAGTAAATGATCATCAGGATCTGTTCCTACAAAATAAAAAAAGTTATCCTTAAGTTAATATTGAAAATTAAATGCTAAAATGACAAGTCATCAACAAATTATGTAAGATTTTTAAACTCATCGCAAAACCTTTGAATTCATAGTTTAACCTTTTAAGCCTCATGAACTTCATTAAGAAAAGATAAATCTTGCTCCACACATTATGAACATTGAACATCAAATACTAATTGCCAATGGCATGATTATAACATGATTCTATCACTCTATACCATAAAATGATAATATATCAAAAATATTCTTAAACATAATTAACAGTTTTGCTTATTACAAACTTTAAATGGATTTGTATTGAAGACCACTAAGTACACTTGTATTTCCTCACTTTCTCAAAAATAAATTATGAATGATAATTTTTCAATAATAAGCATGAAAAGGGTTTCTCTAAAAGAATTGCAATAGAAATACTAGTGGTTTAGGATTTGTAAATAGCTTTAATGTCTCGGGCTTGAAATTTTGTTGAAGAGGCAGAATTCTTGCTGAATCAACTGAGCTACAGAGAGGATCATAATCACAGATTTCTCATAAAAATACTAAATGTGAATTGATTTTTGTTTTACCAACTTAGATAGTAATTATAACCACAACATTTACTCAAGTTTAGATATATATCATATTATATTCTGTTGAATAAATATCAGTTGTTATTGGAACTTTACTTACAAAAATATAGTGTGTGAATAAAATTTTATTTACAAAATTTTCTTAAGTACAATGCTGAGTTTTAATGTTGAAAAAACTCAAACTGAAAACATGAATGAGTTTTGAGTCAACAAAAGTTGCAAAATGTTTTAAATGCGGAGTTTTATTTGTTTTAGCCACAGTGCTGCACAGTCACTAACTCCAGGTCATGGCCCCACAGGGCCAAGATGGCAATGGCAAGCAAAGGCCCCCATGCCAAGGCGGCAGCTGGATGGTGGTACGCATAGTCAGCACCTAGGGTTTTCAGGGACTTTACAAATATCGTTCGTTTATTC